GGGGGGCAGAGCAAAATGAACTGCAATATTATAAGATATATTATATATATGATTTGAACATTTACGGATTATGTTGGGTGACCTGCGGTCTCCCCTATGATTTTATTATTCCATGTAAGGTTATAGTATCTATATAACACAGTGCCTAATCTGATCTCCTTTCTTATAGTAAGCGACTCGGAGTAAACGACTTCCAGTCTCTGCATTCGCAGATCTCTAACAAGCAGGGAGGGGGTATGAAGATCCTGCCCCTTCCATCCTCTACCTTTTTAATTCACTCGCACTTTTTACTAGTCCTTTAACATAATAGAATAATTATTTGTTAATAAATTATTTAATATCTCGTTTGTCTCCCTTATGAGGTCATGCTTCAATTGGCGACATCATCACTTCAACACTTTTTAGGAAACCCCTGATTTTATTTATCTTACAAATAAGATGCATACCCCCTGTAATGCGAAGTTTGGGGCTGCATGGAGATCTCCTCCCCTTTCCCCGAAATTAACTCATCAAATTCATAAACCAATCAAAACTACATTTCGAAAAAAGAAATAAAACTTGCACCAATTGTTTTTGACTTTTGGGACACATATGATGTGTTTGAACAGAAGCAAGTCGACAATCCTCCAAATTCCAAATACATACATTTAGAGAATTCGGAGAAATTGTGCACTTTTTTCCCTGTCAAAAAAGGAGGGTCGTTACTTTTTTTGGAGAGGAGTTGAAAAATAATTCTCCATATACCATGATTTTAGATTATTGCAAACTAAAAACGTTCACATCGTAATAAGGTACAACATTAGATTACTAGTACCTCTGTCTCATTCATATACTGTGAAGTATAAAATCCTTAATTATTGATGTACAATGTCAGACTTCCGCTTGTTCCCATAATCTTTATGCGGATACCAGAGGTAACAAAAGGTTAATAAGATAAGAGTTCACTTTATATTGTACATCGTTAGGGCGACCATCGGTCACCTTATATTGTACATCAGTAGGGAGACCAGAGGGCACCTTCTATTCTATATCATATGGGGGACCGGAGGTCACCTTATATTGTATATCAGTAGGAGGACCTGATATTGTACATTGGAAGAGGGACCAGAGAACACCTTATATTGCACATCAATGGGGCACCAAGGGTAATCTTATATTGTACATCAGTAGGGGACATCAGGAGGGGGACCAGAGGTTATCTTAAATTTTACATCAGTAAGGAGACCAGAGGTCATCTTAAATTGTACATCAGTAGGGGGATGAAAGGTCACCTTTTATTGTACATCAGTAAGGGGACCAAAGGTCACCTTAAATTGTTCATCAATAGCGGCACCAGAGGACTCCTTATATTGTACATCAGTAGGATGACCAGGGGACACCTTATATTTTACATCAGTAGGGGGCATCAGAAGGGGGACCAGAGGACACCTTATATTGTAATTAAGTAGGGGGGTTAGAGGTCATCTTATATTGAACATCAGTAGGGGGACCAGAGGACATCTTATATTGCACTTTAGATCAGCTGGGGACTAGAGGTTTCTTATATTGTACATCAGTAGGGGGACTAGACGGTCATCTCCCTTTGTACATCAGTAGGGGGGGGGCAAAGGATACCTTATATTGTACATCAGTATGAGGACCAGAGGACACCATATATTTTACATCAGTAGGGGGACCAGGGGTCACCTTATATTGTACATCAGTAGGGGGACCAGAAGTCATCTTATATTGTAAATCAGTAGGGAGACCAGAGGACACCTTATGATTTACATCAGTAGGGGACATGAAAAAGGGGAACAGAGGTCACCTTATACTGTACTTAAGTAGGGGGACCAAAGGTCGTCTTATATTGAACATTAGTAGGGGGACCAGAGGACATCTTATATTGCACTTTACATCAGTTGGGGGACCAGAGGTTTTCTTATATTGTTCATCAGTAGGGAGACTAGAGGGCATCTTACATTGTACATCATTAGGGGAACCAGGGGTCACGTTAAATTGTACATCAGTAGGGAGACCAGAGGACACCTTTTATTGTGCATCAGTAGGGGGACCAAAGGTCACCTTATATTGTTCATCAGTAGGGGGCCCGAAGACACCTTATACTGTACAAGACTAGACGTTCGATTATATTATACATCAATAGGGGAAACAGAGGTCACTTTATACATCAATAGGGGGTCAGAGCTCACTCTTTGTTGTAGATCATTCTGGGGACCTAAGAACACCTTACATTTTAAAACAAAAGATGGACCAGAGGTCCTCTTGTATTGTACATAAATATGAGAAAAATAGTCCCCTTTGTTGTACAATTTAACAAGAGGCCCAGGGGCCACATCGCTCACCTGAACAATTGGCTAGGAAAAAGGACATATCAGATCAAAACTGAAAGTTTACTGGGGGTTGGGGGGGGGGGCTTGAACTTCAACTCTCAAAGGGGTCTTGATTTGAACAAACTTGAATTATCACTACATGAGGATGGTTCCACATGAGTTTCATCTTTCCTGACCCAGTGGTTATTGAGAAGAAGATTTTAAAAGATTTTTCCTATATATTCCTATGTAAAACATTGATTGGCCATTTTGGCCACACCCTACCCCCGGGGGTCATGATTTGAACAAACTTGAATCTAAACTATCTGAAGATGATTCCAGATGAGTTTCATTTTTTCTGGCCCAGTGGTTCTTGAGAAAAAGATTTTTAACGATTTTTCCAATATTTCCTATGTAAAACTTTGATCGGCCATTTTGGCCCTACCCTACCCCAGGGGTCATGATTTTAACAAACTTGAATTTACACTACATGAGGATGATTCTTCATGAGTTTTATTTTTCCTGGCTCAGTGGTTCTTGAGAAAAAGATTTTTAAAGATTTTTCCAATATATTCCTATGTAAAACTTTGGTCGGCCATTTTGTTCCCACCCATGCCCCAGGGGTCATGATTTGAACAAACTTGAATCTACACTACCTAAAGATGATTTCAAATGAGTTTCATCTTTCCTGGCCCAGTGCTTCTTGAGAAGAAGATTTTTTAATAATGCCATTATTTTTTCTCTAAATCAAGATTATCTCCCCTTGGAAAAGGGTGTGGCCCTTCATTTGAACAAACTTGAATTCCCTTCACCCCAGGATACTTTGTAGCAAATGTAGTTGAAATTGGCCCAGTGGTTCTTGAGAAGAAGATGAAAATGAGAAAAGTTAACAACAACGACAACGACAACGTCGACAACAACGCCGACAACGACAACGACGACAACGACAGACAACGGACAAATTGTGATCAGAAAAGCTCACTTGAGCCTTTGGCTCAGGTGAGCTAAAAAAAAAAACAAGACGTTAAATAAATTTAAATGCATGCAGGGATAAGGCATTAACGATTCTAGACCCGTATTAACCAAAAAAATCTAAAAAAGAAAATAAGGACTGAGCAGATTTTACAGATGAAATGCGTATTAATGGGATGCTAGAGGTTCTCTTATAAAAACACGACAAGAGGCCTTTGGGTCTTATAGGTAATTTGAACATCATGTAAAAACTTTTAAACAATTGAATTTGGTTCGCGCTTTGAACCAGACACCATAACATTCGCAATTTTGAAAAAAAACACCATTTCTCATCATAACTATATACTTAGCATGCCTAGTCTGGCTACCTAATACCTATATAGAGCGTAGGGGAACAAAAAGTGCATTTCAAATAACCAGTAATAATTAGTAGTGACCATTGACCACAAAAATCCTTACCCTGGGGTCATACATTTCACAATTTTGGAAAAGGCACCCTTGTTCATACAACAAAATTCAAAGCATTAATTCAATTACAGTATTTAATTAGAGCCCCGACCCTCAATGGTATCCATTAGCCAGGGGCCTTGAAATTTATAATTCTGGAAGAGGCTCCCTTGCTTATCATAACTATATAAAGTAAGTTAAATTAATATTCAGGTGCAGAGAGGAAGATTTTTTTATAGATTTAATGCATTTTACCTTAACAATATATATATAGCCCCACCGTAACACCAGAACCCCTGACCTTTGGGTTGCGAAATTCAAAACTCTGGAGAGAATATTCTTCCTTATCATGTATATGCATGTAGTTAGTTTGTTTAATATCCAGGGTTAATATCCAGGGGAAAGATTTTCAAAGAATAAATGCATTTCACGATATTAATTTTTATAGCCCTGTCCTAACCCCAGGGCCCATGACCCTGGGACAATGAATGTCACAATTTTAGTAGAAGAGTCAATGCTTATAATGCTTATGCCAATGGCTTGATGTCAATGAGTAAAGAAGATTTTTAAAGATTTCATCAATTGTAGTAGTTTCGCCCCAACTTTCTTTGCTTATATGTGATGGAGGGCAAGGACCATGATTAAAAAAATCTACCCTTCACCCATAGATGCTTTTTTGCCAAAATTGGTTGTAAATGGTTGAGGGATTGCAGAGAAAAGCTAAAAAAATTCGAATGTTAACGCACAATGCACAGTGCACAACGCCAGAAAAAAAAACAGAAAAACACGAGTTGGTTCAGGTGACCAAATAAGGAGCCTTTTGGTCTCAATATTTATGCATAATATTAGGTGTCCTCTGGTCTTCCTATTGACTTAAAATATAAGATGATCTCTGGTCTTCTCATTGATGTAAATATAAAGTGTCTTCCGGTTTCTTCATTGTCGTTCAAAATAGTGTGATCATTAGTTTTAATGATGTACAATATAAGGTGACCACTTGTCCCCCTACCGATATACAAATTACGAGGACAGTTCAATAAATATTGTCCTGAACTCTATGACATACAATACAGATATCATGTGACATTAAGCTTAACTTTCTCTCATTATTGAATCTTCAATGAATTTATAACAGTTTATGTAACCACTTTTCATCACAAAGTTTCATTTTGTCATTCGGATCACCTCACCTATTTACAGTATCCCGGCCACAATGTGCTTTTTTATAGCAGGAAGTAAATTACATTCTTCCTGAATACACGTCATACATTACAAATGGCCGGCACTTATCTCGACTATGAGGTACATGTATTGTGAAAGAGATTTATCCACAAGATAACGAAAAAGGTAATACATTGTACTTTAGTAAGTCCTTAGCATGATAAAAGCTATACACGGTTATACCATTACCTATAGCATGTATAGTGTCTTCGTTACCTACAATCTGATAATAACTATTTTTTTTTAGAGTTTGAAACAACAAAAATGGATCAAGTACCAGATACAGCCCAGCACTTTATTGAATGTGACACGGAATCCTGTGGGAACTTTTCTGAGTTCTACTGCAATACCTGTCACCAGCGAATCTGTGATCAATGTATACAGCGCCATCACGAGCAGAAAAAGAACAAAAGACATGACATTGTCCCCTATCAGGAGAGAAAGAGAAAAATTCCTTCTGAGAAATGCAGGATCCACCCCACACAAGAAATAGACGTTTATTGTTATGATTGCCAGGATCCTGTCTGTTCTTTTTGCTTTGTCAGACATCACAGTGGCCATGGTCTCAGTGACCTTGAAACAATTTACAATGATATTCTACAGAAGTGTCAGAACGAAATTACTGATATCTGGAAAAGAGAAATTCCTCATGCTAAAGATAATGTTGAATTAATTGAGAAAAAGGGAGAAAAGGTAAAGAAAGAAATTGCCAAGTTTAGAGTTTCAATGAAAAATAGAGCAGATGAACTGAAAGAAGTTGTTGACAATATACTAAATGATAAAAATAAAAAGTTAGATGAAATTGAAAATTACGTCCAAACTGAAATAAAGGAACAACAGAAGGAAACAGAGGACTACATAAAGTACTTGGAAAAAATGATTACAGACTATGAGAGTAGAATGTCATCTATAACACACACTGAACTTATGAAATTCCATGTAGAAATTTCATTGGCTACCTTTAAGATGCCTTACAAATCTGAACCTAATCTCCCAACTTTTACATTAGGTTCACTAAATAAAGAAGAAGTAGCCAAACAGTTTGGTGAAATAGAACTAGATTCACCAGAAAGGATTACGCTTTCCTCTGTCACAAAAGTAAGTGAAAAGACTATCCAGGAACAAGGATTAATTTTGAGTCATTTGTCTTTCTTACCTCCAAATAAATTTTGGGTCAGTGATAGGTGGGGGATTCTCTTTCAGTTTGACATGGAAGGAAATATCTTACAGGAAATACCCACCGGTATGTCGTATATCCAAGGTATCCACACAGTCACCACAGAGGGATACCTTCTTTACACAGATAACAGTAAAAACACTGTATACAGAGTAACTAGTGACAAGTCTATCAACAAATTTATCCAGACAGGGAGCTGGGAACCTGGAGCTATCTACTTCTCCCCTGTCAATGGACACATATTGCTTGGGATGAAGAGAAATAGAGAAAATAAAATAACCAGATACAACAGAGATGGCAGGAAGTTAAATGATATACAGTGGGATGAAGAAGGACAAAATATCTACCAAGGTATAGATTACATCACAGAGAACATTAATGGTGACATCTGTACATCTGACTTGAAAGCCTGTCAGGTTGTGATGGTGACAGCATCAGGAGATTATCGTTTCTCTTACTCTGGTCACCATTCTCAGTCTGGATTCCATCCCTATGGAGTCTGTACAGATGTTCTGGGACACATGCTGGTGTGTAATGGCTATTATTCATTAAAAGAGAACTGTTTTAGTATCCACCTGCTGGACATAAATGGTCAGTTCCTGACTCTCCTCCTCACACCAGAACAATGTCCGTCATCTCCCTGTGCTCTCTGTATTGATGATAAACACAATCTCTGGGTTGGAGGATTAAAAAGTTCTACTGTCTTTTTGTACAAGTATTTGCAAAACTCAAAAATATGATTTTTAAAAAAATATATTTATGTATGGTTTATGCAAGCTGCAGAACTGTAGCTCTCCGAAAAAAAATATATTGACAGAGTTAAGAGCTCCATCTCCATCCGATGAAAAAAGTGCCTGATTACTTATTACAGGGTACACACAAAAATGCATGTGCACTGTTTTTTCAATTTATTTCTCCATGATTTTAAAATGAAATCTCAAAATATTACTAACGGTGTGTTCCTTACTTGATAGAGGAGCAAAGAATTTGTCAATAGAAAATTCATCTTTTTTGCATTTGAAGTAAGAATTTAGAGAAATTAATCAGAACCAAGCGCAATATTTTGTGTGCAACAAATATTTTTGCTTTGGGTGGTACTGTAACTCTCGAGTCAGCCATCCCAATTTGTTTAGACCAGCAAGCTTCAGTTCAGCAACTAAATGTTTATGCTTGATCAATTTGCATTACATACGACCTCTCATAGTGCTAATGTCAAGAAATAAATATTAATGGTAAAAGGTTCACTAGAAAATGAACTTGGTAAAATGTCAGTGATCAAATCATATGAAGCCCAAAGGACTTCTCAATAAACTTGATTTTGTGTTCTTTACCATGTTTTTTTATTACTTAATTATATTTACACTTGAGACACATATTACATAAATATCAAGACAGATAACTATGTTGTGACACACAAATCCCTTGAAGTAAGTTCACCTAGCTCCAATATTTGATTGTAAATAACCATTAAATGTTTGCAATGGAATTCCAGAATATGTCATATACACATGTTTTAGATGGTTTACACTTAATAATTGTTATTCATTTTATGTTCAATACACAATGTCATGTAAATATTTTTTGTTCTCCTTAGTTTTTATAAAATTGGCCAGTTTGAGATCTGTTTTGCATATAGAATACAAATAATCAATGAGTAATTTATTGTTGCTTTGAATCTCAAATTTTAAATAATTATGCTCATGTATTAACAGTACTATAGCTTTTATCAAATTGGTCATATAGGTACAAGTTTCAGTATTCAAGTGAATGGTCATGAATTTCAATCCCTTATAACTTGGTGTCTGATTACATCCAATCTTACCAAATTTTCCCTGGTCATTCTGTTATGGGTCAGAATAACCCTAAATGCCAGCAAAGATCAATCACACAGTTTAAACTTAACAATAATTTATTTACAGTAATATACAAATCATTAAGTACAAACTTAGCAAAAATCTAAAAATACATACATCAGAGTGTCCGTTGCTGCACACAATGTCCCAGTGAAATTATATCCCAGTAATAATACCTCAATGTTGCTTGTAAGACAATGGTGTCTCTATGCATCAAATTGTCAGGGTATTTATACAGTATTATAAATCTAGAATATTCTAGAAGTTGTAAGTACATGGCATTACTGGAAAGTTCTGGACATACAAAGTTCAAGAATGTTCTAGAAAATTACCGAACATGTTGACCACTCTGAAATGTTCAAGAAACTTAATGTTACTAATAATTGACACGATGAAACAATATAAATACAACACACCTCACAACACCACCCCCCTTAAAAAAGTTTGAATGTCAATGAAAACTTACATTATTAAAATAAAATATATGTACATTAATACAAAATCATGTATGTTCACGATACTCTGGACAAGGCATCTGCAATAACATTGTATTTGCCTTTGATATGCTTAATTGTTATGTTGTATTCTTGTAACAACAAACTCCATCTAGTCAGTCTTCGATTTTTGTTTGACAATTTATGCAAAAATGTCAGAGGGTTGTGATCCGTATATACAAGAATTGGATGCAAAGTAACATTCAGATAAACATCAAAATGCTGTAAGGCTAACAACAAAGCAAGGCATTCCTTTTCAATGGTGGAATACTTTTGTTGACATTTTGTAAGTTTCTTTGAAAAATAAGAAAAAACTCTATCTACATTGTCACTATGCTCTTGAAACAAAGCTGCCCCGATTCCAACATCACTAGCATCAACAGTAAGCTTAAATTGCTTAGAAAAATCTGGAGTTGACAGAACTGGATTGCTCATAAGGACAGATTTGATTTTATGAAAGGATTTTTCACAGTCCTTTGTCCATTCAAAATTAACCCTCTTTTGTAAAAGATTCGTAAGTGGACTTACAACTGAGGAAAAATTTGGACAAAATTTTCTGTAAAACCCAGCCATGCCCAAAAACCTCATTAACTCCTTCTTGTTTGTAGGAATCGGGAACTTTGCAATAGCTTCCACTTTAGCCATAATAGGTGTAACATAACCTTGACCTACTTTATGACCTAAATACTCTACATAAGCATGACAAAATTCGCTCTTCTCAAGGTTCACAGTTAAGTTTGCTATAGCTTAAATGTCAAATAAAGCACGAATGATTCGGAGATGTTCGTCCCATGTGTCGCTGTATATGATGACATCATCAATGTAGGCCTCGCATCCCTCAAGGTCTTGAAGAAGGGAGTGAATCATCCTTTGGAATGTAGCCCGTGCGTTTTTCATGCCAAAAGGCATTACTTTATACTGGTAAAGTCCATCTGGTGTAGCAAAAGCAGATATTTCTTTTGCTCTTTCTGTTAACGGCACTTGCCAGTAGCCTTTCAACAGGTCAAATTTACTGACAAATTTCGCGTTTCCAATTTTGTCAATACAGTCATCGATTCTAGGTATTGGATATGAATCAGTTTTGGTAACAGAATTCACCTTTCTATAGTCTGTACATAATCGGTACGAACCGTCCTGTTTTGGTACAAGAATACATGGTGAGCTCCAATCACTTTTACTAGGTTCAACAATGTCATTGTCCAACATGTACTGCACTTCCCTTCTTAGGTACTGCAATTTAATTGGATTCAGACGGTACGGATGTTGTTTGATAGGCAGAACGTCACTCACTATGACATCATGACAAGCTGCATTAGTTTTCTTTGGAACATCCGATTTGATGATACTCATTCATCAAGTTTTTAACTTGTTCTTTTTGGTGAATGTTCAAATGTCCAAGTTTGGCATCCAAATTAGCCAAAACTTCTGAGTTTTTCAAGCGGACACTCTGATTACAATCTTTCTCATTCATCTCTACACTCGTATCACTCTCAATACAATTTTCAACAGTCTTAGCATTGGCTAAAGTGGAAACTGGTTTTACAGAATTTCGGTCACACCTTTCAAAATACTCTTTTAACATGTTAATGTGACAAACCCGTTTCTCTTTACGTCGACCTGGTGTCTTAACTACATAGTTTACATCACTGATCTTGCTTTCAATTTCATAAGGGCCATAAAATCTGGCTTGTAAAGGATGACCAGGAATAGGTAAAAATACAAGAACCTTATCACCTGGCTTAAACACCCTATTTCTAGCATCTTTGTCATACCACATTTTCATTTTCATCTGAGAACTCTTCAAATTTTCTTGTGCTAATTGACAAGCATTGTAAAGTTTTTCTTTGAAATCAGACACATAATCTAAAAGATTAAGATCAGTAGTCTCAGTCAGCCACTTTTCCTTCAACAATTTCAAAGGACCCCTAACCGTATGACCAAACACCAATTCAAAAGGACTGAAACCAAGAGACTCTTGGACTGCTTCTCGTGCAGCAAATAGTACAAGATGAACCCCTTCATCCCAGTCTTTCTCACACTGGTAACAATAGGTCTTCAGCATTGTTTTTAGGGTTTGATGAAAACGTTCTAGCGCTCCCTGGGACTCAGGATGATAAGCAGTTGATCTATATTGCCTTATACCCAACTCATGCATGACTTGCTGGAACAACCCCGACATAAAATTTGAGCCTTGATCCGACTGAATTGCCTTTGGTGCTCCTACAAAACTGAAGAACTTGGTTAGGGCCTTAACTATGCTCTTTGCCTTTATATTCCTAAGAGGTATTGCTTCAGGGAATCGAGTGGATGTACACATAATGGTAAGTAAATACTGGTTCCCAGATCTGGTCCTAGGCAAAGGTCCTACACAATCCACCAAAACTCGACTAAACGGTTCTTCAAAAGCTGGAATTGGTTGGAGAGGGGCGGATGGTATCTTCTGATTCGGTTTACCTACCATCTGACAGACATGACACGACTTACAAAACTCAGAAACATCCTTCCTTAGCTTAGGCCAATAAAATGACTCAAAATCCTATTATAAGTCTTATTGATACCTAAATGACCAGCCATAGGTGTATCGTGAGCTAAACTCATGACATCACGACGATAAGCAGCTGGAACCAATATCTGGTGAACAACACGCCACACTTCATCTGGGGAAGCGTCAGGTGATCGCCATTTTTGCATAAGGATGCCATCTTTCATATAGAAGCATTCTCCAACTTTAGTAGCCTCTTCTGGTGGAAGTGCCCTCTTACTAAGTTGAATGATATCTGGGTCTTTATGTTGTTCAGAGAGTAAACGTTCTCGGCTGAGGATGTCCTTGCCTTGGCTAACTAGTGGATGCAACTCAATATCCTCACCACCAAATTTTGGTATCAGTTCTTTCTTCTCTTGCTTCTTGATATTGTGTGGTTCCTTGTTGGTTTGAGTGCCATCAAGGTCAGATAAGAAAGTGTCATTCAAATCAATATCAACAGAGGAATTCGTTTTGTCAAAGGCTTGAATATGGTCTGCCTCCATTTCTCGTCTTCTGGCCATCGCTCTAGTCACAGCACATGCTGGATAAATGTCATCATCTTCATGGTCGCACATGACATCTGGAGTGATTTTCTCACAAACTATAGGATCTGGTACAACTTTTCCACCAGCTAAATCGTTACCTAGCAACAAAGAAATGCCTGGAACGGGAAGAGTAGGTCGAACACCTACGATAACAGGTCCAGTAACTAAATCTGACTTCAAACTAATTCTATGCAGGGGAACATCAATGACGCCTAGCTCCACACCCTGTAATAAAACTGACCCACCAGTAGAAGTCTGCTCAGACAAAGGAAGCACGCCCTCTAACAATAACGTCTGTGCAGCACCAGTATCTCTCAAAATCTG